GTAAGAGAAGAGACCACACAAGTGAGTATAGGTCACAGCAGCCTCATACCATTATCTCTCAACCACCCATGGGCAAAGTTTCCATATCTCCACAAGAACAAGTTCAGTTACAAGAGACTCCAAAGTGACATACTTACTTAACACATTAATGAATAATTTTTTTTTTTTTTTTTTTTTTTGGAGACAAAGTCTAACTTTGTCACACTGGGTAAAGTGCCGAGGTAGAGTACCTCACAGCAACCTCAAACTCTTGGACTCAAGCAATTCTCTTGCCTGAGCCTCCTGGGTAGCTCGCTCTGGCTCAGGCTGGTCTTGAACTTGTGAGCTCAGGCAATCCTGTCGCCTCGGCCTCCCAGTCCTTGGATTACATGCATGAGCCATAAATGAATAATTTTATATGACTAAAAAGTAGGGGACAGTGGAAAGATGAGGATAAAATGCAGGCTGGAACAAGATTAAAATGGGCTCTACATGACAAGTCTAAATCTTTTTCCTCCTGACATAAAAAGAAAAGAAGCTAATTTTAAAAGGTATTAAAGTCATAATTAAGTAAATGGAAATGTTTTTTTAAAACCTGCATTTTGTTTAATCACAAGAGTTGTAAGTTAAATAACATTATCTTCTCTAGGAATGATTGCTGTCTCCATGAACAAACCTCTGTCTACCTCTCAACCTCCTGTCACTAACACTCACAAACCTCCTCTAGGCTGAGTTCCCTTCTGTACTGCCAAAGAAACTGTATTATTGTTCTTAACAGAGAATATTAAAATGATTCACATGTCCATAAATGACTCAGGAATAAGAGCTATAATTCATTTTTGTGTGTCTAGGAAAATGCTGGCTAGCAGTAGATGCTAAAAACATTCCCTGAATTAACATTCAAATAAACTATACACTTCTGAAAATAGGAAGAAAAACTAATTTAAGTGTTAATTATATGACATGCACTGGGCATCATAACAATTGGAAATTTATTCCTAACAATGGTTCATGTTTCTTAAGAAAAATATTACACTTCTATTTAATGAATTGGAAATATTTTTAATATAAAATGTTGATATCATCAAGGCATTATTTGTACATGAATTTAGGAAAATGAATTTTAAACAATCTTCCATACATGATAAAGGACAGTGGTATCTTTGAAAAACATACAAACAAAAAAGTTCAGAAATCACAAGATATCTTACTTTCTTTCCCAAAATTAGATGTACAAAACAATTAATAGTCACCTTAAAAAGTCTCACACACACAAACACACAAATTGGGAATGAAATACATAATTATGATCATTTTTCTATGAAACCTCCAAAAGACAACTATCTTTAATAATATAAAGATGGTGACAAGATAACAAAAGCTAAGGACACAGGCTTAACTGACAATTCACATGATTTTGAAATAATACATCCAGATGTTTTAGCTTTATTTTAAATTGCCTTTGCTTCACTGCTTTACACACAGTTACAATGTAAATCCAAGAGACGCTTAACACAGAAGATTAAAATAATATTGTTAAAAAGCATTTTTTCTTCTGAGAAAATACACTATAATCATGTCTCCCTCAAAATATTCCTGATAACATCAGAAGGTTCTGAAATGTTTAATCATATATACCACCATCATCACATGAATTTAGAGCTGCTACCTTAATATCTGATAAAAAATTAAGCTCAATGAGGATCATAGGTCTCATAAAAACTACAATTTAAAAATATAAAGGCAATGACAGCAATCTGGCTTTGAAGATGAATACTGGCTAAACTGAGCTATAAAATTATATATTTATTTCTAGCAATAAATAGGACATGAGGGTATTTTTTTGTTAAAGTGTGAGGACATCAATTTTATCTTCTATATTGTAGAAACTGTATACATATATTCTGGAATAATGTAGGAGCAAATATTTATACAGCTATATCTCAAATAAACTAAGGTGAACTACATGTATAATTTTTAAAAACCTATTTTGGAAAGCTAAATGTTTTGTTCCAAATTTTACACTGAACAAATGAACTAAGTTCTCAGACCCCAACATATAATATCAAAAGAAATGGGAGTAACTGATTTAGCAATTAATAAAAAGCTGCTCTTTAGAAGAGTGGATTCCCGTCATCTTCCTAACATTATGAATGTCTTTTTTTACACCATACAGAAGGGATGCCGTAAATGGCATTTTCTGAAGCCTTGATACTAAATTCTTTTTTAAAAAAAAATACACAGTATTCATACTGCATGCTTGAGCTGCAAAGAATAGAATTACAATATGGTGTGACTTGTCAACAAATCTGACAAGCTCTGGGGCTGGCACTGGGAGGACCTAACTCCCCTCAACACCCAGTCATGTGGAAGTACAGATCACATAGTTTTATTATCTACAAAAACATTCCCACATTACATATACTATTGCATAATCCAAGCATATTTACTCAGAAAAATATGAAATATTTATGAAATTTTAATTTCTAGCTAATAAGTTTATATCATCCCCATTTCTACTCCATCTATGATATCCAAACAATTCTAATAATATATCTTATATATTTTAAATAATGTCCAATGCCTTATAAAACTACCACAAGTTATTTTCTTCTCTGTGAGCTGGCTAACACAAATGCTGGTAAGAGGCTTTCCAGTAATCTTAGAGAACATCTGTGTTGTGTTTATACAGATTAACTAGTTACTGCTGCCCTTCTGTTGCTGTACATGAAGTTTCAAAATGAGTTCTCGAATATCTTCCCGTTTGGTCTTTATTACGTGACGAGGAAACCACTTTTCCAAGTGAATTGGAAGTTCGAAATTCACAATAGGATCCTTATGAGAAAAAAGAAAGAACGCAATCACATAAGGTGCAAACTTCAAGTTTGTTTTAATTTTACAAGAAATAAAAATTGCTAACTTTTTAAAAATAACAGCTTTATTAATATATAACTCACATAATTCACCTGAAGTACACAATACAATGGTTTTTTAGTAGACTCATAGAGTTATATAACCATCACTACAATCAATATTAGAACACTTTCATTAAGTTGCTAACTTTTGAACATCAAAATTAAATACTGTCTGTTCTACTATACATGTTCAAGTGAATCACCACAAACCATAGGGAGAGAATGACTCAGAGTAACACAGAGGTCAGGTTTTGTCACAATTGTATCACAATTTTTCCCAAGATGTTAATTTTTTTTTTTTTTTTGACACAGAGCCTCAAGCCATCACCCTGGGTAGAGTGCTGTGACATCACAGCTCACAGCAACCTCCAGCTCCTGGACTCAAGCAATTATCCAGCATCCTCCTCCCAAGTAGCTGGGACCACAGGCGCCCGCCACAATGCCCGGCTATTTTCTAGTTGCAGCCATCACTGTTGTTTGGCAGGCCCGCGCTGGATTTGAACCCACCAGCTCAGGTGTTATGTGGCTGGCACCTTAGCTGCTTGAGCCACAGGCACCGAGCCCAGATGTTAATATTGTGAAACTACTAAAACAAAAAGCCTAAACAATAAATGAAGAATCTCAGATTTAAAAAAAGAAGCAAAATCCTGCACAAGTGCCTTCTTTTAATGCAAGAAATGGCTAATTTAATGGCTTCAAGAAACACTACATTTTCCATTATATTATTAAGTTTAAGCAGGAAACTGTAAGTTGCAAATGCAAAGACAGTTCCTTCTATATTTAAAAAAATTGCAGAAGAAAGCTACACCAAGATCATATTTATAAATTTTATGAAATTGTAAGAAGCCATATGTAAGAAGGGTTTACATGTTGAAGAATAGATTAAGAGCCCCAAGCAATGAGGCTAAAAGACTAGATGGTGATTACAGGAGCAAATGCCAGTAGAGATTTACTGTGGCAGGAAATTTCATTAGAAGTAATAACATTATTAGGAGTTAGTTCCATAAGTGTCAAGTGGTCTGCCATAAGCCATTTTTTCCAACCTAAGCTGTTAGTGTACAAATTTGCAAAACGTGATATTTACATTTTGAAGGGTTTTTCCCCCCAGTAATCTTACATGGTGCTTTATCCTGTATTAGAAGTATATTCTACTGACTGAAGGTATATGAAGTAGAATTATGTAATAGACTCTGAATATGTTATGTAGTAAGGTATTCTGAATATTCTAAACACAAAATGAAATCTCCTTGGAAAGAGTATTAAAGGACCAGAATTGTCAGCCTATGATGAAGTTTCAGTGTGGGAAAAAACCAACATAACAGATATTTATGTACAATCTTTTACTATATATTATCATTCTCCCCCAATATTAAAAACATCAAAAAGCTGTAACTGTATATTAAAACCCTTATTTTTTCATAGTATTGTCCAAGCATACATCTCAAAAACATCCCATCTTCACAAATATTGGTAATGAAGGAAGTAATGAGCTGATATTTCAAAAAGCAAAGACTGATTACTTGCTATTTAACATTTCTTCCTTAATATTGGTTTAATTACTATAGAGTTCTATAGTGAGCTAAAAAATAACAGTCATGTTTGTAATTCTTCCAGCTACAGGTTTCTGAGCTTCTTGAATAAACAGGTCTTTCAGTTTTAGAAAAAAATGTTTAAATATTGCCCTATTCTCTCTCTCTCCCCAATCCTTCTGGGACTCCAATTACATGAAAATTATACCTTTTGACTGTTTCACATTTGTCTCTTACACTGTGTTCTCTCTTTGCATTTTTTGTTCACTTTGAGCTGTAGTTGGATACTTTAAAGTCCTTTCTTAAAGTTCATTAATCCTATCTTCTGCTGTATCCAATCTGCTATTAAACCCACCCACTAAAATTTTTTTTTTTTTTTT